TAAATATGTCTTCTCAGAAGAGTTTTTAGTTATCTTTCTATCTCACACATACCTAACTACCCAACCTACCAACTTAGTAGAGTTGTTTTTTGGTTCTCTCCTGTGCTTTGAAGGTTTTTCTCCGGRTTCTCCGGTTTTTCTCCCTCCTCAAAAATCAACTTCTAAATTCTAATTCGATCTTTGGGCTTTCACYTAGTTTGGAGCCTAGCTCTGTTGTGATTGTCCCACGCTGTGATACAACAGCAAAAGCTTTGTAGATTGTTTTTACCAAACTGACTACCTCGGATTGCTTATATTGTTACTGCTCGTGTGTCTTAGGGAAGCCTTGGGTTTTACCGTGATCAAGTGGTACGCATTACCTCACATGTCGTTCTTTATTGGATGCACAGCCTCGCTTCTAATTATCGCCCTGTTAGCCGTGGAACGTTCGATTGCAGTGCACGCCAACTACCACAGAAAACTTCCAAAAAAACGAGCCGTCAACATGTCCATCGCAATCTGGATCTTCTYTTTTACATTCCCTTGCATCTACTTCCAAATTGGGTATTTCAAATTCGCTTTCATCTTTGCAATCTTAATGATCATTGTCACATTCGTTATTATGGTGATAGCATTCATACGTATCCATGRCAACATGAGGAGCACAACAGTTAGAGCCTTAACTGTTCAGCCCATGGGATCTGCTCAGGAAAAGACTTCACAAAAACAACTAAAACGTGCCGAGAGAGAGCGACGAGTGACTAGAATCTTTACAGCTATCCTTATCTTCTACACGACATGCAACCTGCCCGCATTTGTTTTCATCTTTGTCGTCAACTTTTGCTCAACCTGCAGCTGTGTTTTCATCCACTGGTCACGTGACCTCCTTCTCGTGTGCGTATTGGTTAACTGTTCGGGGAACCAGTTTCTTTATGCTTGGAGAATGAAGAGTTTTAGGAGAGCTTTCCGTTCGTTAGTGCATCTACCGCTGACCGACGAAGCATCAGTGATCCAAACACGAGATACGCGTGACAAGCAATGATCAATAACTGCTC